ATTAAGTGACCTGTAATCTGCAACGTTGCTTCTGCATCTCTCACCAAAACATTCGTGAGCCAAAGTAATCAAACATTGGGTTGAAGCAATAGGAGAACTAGGGTTTGATTGCCCTCAGAGTATGTGGGCCAAAATGTGCCAGAATGGATCAATACTGTTGTTACAGTTAGCAAATAATCCTCCGTGAGGTATAAATGCTACTAAAGCTGGTAACTTAGCCTATAGCTTCTCTTACTAAAAAGCATTCTTTGCTTACAACTCCCTACTCTTCTTCTTCATGCGTTCTGCATGATCCTGAAATGGAATACTGCAGTGTGCAGACGGTATGCTGCATGTATGCATGATGTACATATGTATTATATAGATGCAAAATGCATGGCAGGTTCTTTTAGGACATGACATGACTTGTCTTTCTATGGCAGTCAACAGCCATTTCATCACGGATCTTGTGATGAAAAGGGAAGTGAATACTGCTCACACTCCTAGACGTTGGCAGATATATATTAATTTGCTTTTGAAACTTTAATCAGACAATATGCGCATGGTATGATTTATAAAAAGAAAGTTCTATACATGCTTAGCAATTCAAATTATTCTCCTTAACTGGTGATACATGTGGTATTTTAGAAATATTTCCTGTTGCAACACTAAAGACGTTGCATTGTATACATGTGCATTTACTGGTACAACCTCTTGCAGTTCATCTGGTGACCACCAGATAAATGGGACCAACCCCCATATTTGCATCAGCAAAACTTTTGACCACACTATTATTGCCTTTTTCACTTTCACTGGATTCTACTGTTGTCTAGCCGAATTCAAGGTGCTGAGTTTGCAGTACATCAGGAGAAGGTGCCAGTGGCATATCTGGAATTTTGAGCATGTGTAGGGAGTACATGCACAAGATGGCTACCATGGTGAATTTGTCCAGGCATGAAACAACTATTTACCAGAGTTCAAACTAGCCTCTACCAACCCACTGGAACCTTCGTGGAGCAAACAGCTTTCCTGTAAATAAATATAATGCTAAAAACTGGTGTCTGGCAACATTTTATTTTATTTTGGTTTTTTAAATCTAATGGCATAGGGAGACTGGTATCTGAGGTCACTAAAGAAGTAGCTGGGGGCACACTGATGTCCATGTACAATCTGTGCCTAATGGAATACCAGCCACTAGATGCACGTCGTCTGCAGTTATCTTCAGAAACTCTTCTTAAAATATCCATTTAATCTGAAATTCAGAGGGAGGCTTTTTAAGAGCAGTTTCATAGCTTTGCCATGATTATCCTTGTCTTCCTTTTGGTGCCAGAGTTGGGTGCTTCTGTTACCCCATTTATTTCATATTTTTAATTTTTTAAAAAAATGTTTCATTTACCTTTCTTTTCTTTCTTTCTTTCTTTCTTTCTTTCTTTCTTTCTTTCTTTCTTTCTTTCCTTTCTTTCTTTCTTTCTTTCTTTCTTTCTTTCTTTCTGTCTGTCTGTCTTTCTTTCTTTCTTTCTTTCTTTCTTTC